GTAAGTGTTACTATTATGCTCCATTTTAACATGTTTGTCCTAATTTTAGAAGTGTGATCCATTTTTACAAGTCTGAATCACTTTTTGGAGTGTGACCTATTTTTTCAAAAAGGACCCAATTTTCAAATGTGACCCATTTTTAAACTCGTGGATACGCGAAGCGTAGAAACGAGTTTGTTGTGGGGACTCCGATATGCAAATGTGTCAATCACTCACTCTCTCACTCACTCAGGTGTAGACAATGTTCGTAGTTAGTCAGCCCGAACGAGAGCATCCGAGCCCGACGCCATGTTAGAATAGTAACCGAGCCCGACGCCATATTGGAATAGTAACTCTGTAGTCAGCGCGAGCCTCGCTATCGTGTTTGCGCGGTTACTACTCAAAGCGTGCATCGTGCAGGCTCGAATTGATGATTTTGTAGCTTTTACACGACCATCAATGATAGGTGTTTCGCTAAATTGAAGTGGAGTTGACTTCGAATGTTCGAATTAGTACTATGGCCAACTCGAAGGCTGAATTTCATGAGCATTTCACTCCTCCAGGCGTTAAAAATGATCAGGAATTGAGCATTTGTTTGCTGGAAAGTGACCTGTCTCATGTTAATGTGGTAAGCTTTGATGAGAATGTGTCTTATTCGAGGGTGTGGACAAAACGTAGGGTAGGCCATGGGCTAGGCCAATGGCCTGGGCCATGGTGTGGGCCATGGTGTAGGCCATGGCCTACCCTGTAGCCTACCCTATGGCCTACCGGTGGTCAGAGTTTAAAAAAAAAAAAAATTAACAAAACACCAGGAAGAGTCGAACGAGTTAGCTAGCATAAAATTATATCCCTCTAATAGGGGTATACTAAAAAGCCACTGACACGATTCTCAACATCGGAAAGAACGAAACAATGCAAACCTTACAGCACTCAGCCTTGAAACATCCTATTTTTCGCTGTCTTCGACGTCTAGCTTCCCCAGCCAAGCAATCAATCATAACGCCAGAGAGGTACCAATCCTTACATAACACATTATCTCCTGTCATATTTCGCAAAAGCTTCCGCTGTGAACCTTTTAAAGCTAAACAGCCTAAGAGGTACCAAAACTGCGTTTTTAACCCCTAAAAGGTATGGCAAGCACCCCCGTCATTTATATATGGNCGCAAAAGCTTCCGCTGTGAACCTTTTAAAGCTAAACAGCCTAAGAGGTACCAAAACTGCGTTTTTAACCCCTAAAAGGTATGGCAAGCACCCCCGTCATTTATATATGGAATCCCCCCCCCCCCGGGGAAGGGCGGATATTACTAGATAGTGCTAGTGTAAACATATAATGAATGGAACCCACTTGCCTATGAGTGACCTATATTTTCAAGTGTGACACATTTTTACAAGTGTGATCCATTTTCCCGAGAGTGACCCATTTCTCTAAGTGTGACCCATTTTTTTTCCAAGTGTGTCCCATTTTTCCAAGTGTGACCCATTTTTCCAAATGTGACCCACTTTTCTAAGTGTGACCCATTTTCCCAAATGTGACCCATTTTTGCAAGGGTAACCCTTTTTTCCAAGTGTGACCCCTTTTTCCAAGTATGACCCATTTTTCAAGTGTGACCTATTTTTTCAAGTGTGACCCATTTTTGCAAGTCTGACCCATTTCATTACGTGTGACCCATTTATACAGGGGTGACCCATTTTTACAAATGTGACCTATTTTTACATGTCTGGCTCATGTTTTCAAGTCTGATTTTTTTCCAAGTGTGACACAATTTTTAAAGTGTGACCTACATTTCTAAGTTCCACCCATTTTCAGAAGTGTAACCCATTTTTTACAAATGCGTACTATTTTTACAAGCGTGTCTTATTTTTAGAAGATTGACCCATTTTTCCAAGTCTCACCCATTGTTACTAGTGTGACCCATTTTTCCAAGTCTCACCCATTGTTACTAGTGTGACCCATTATTTTCATTGTGACCCATTTTTCCAAGTGTGACCCATTTTTCCAAGAGTGAACCATTTTTCCAAGTGTGACCCACTTTTACAAGTGTGACCCATTTTGGCAAATGTGACCCATTTTTCCCAGTGTGACCAATTTTTACAAGTGTGTCCCATTTTTACAAGTGTGACGCATTTTTACAAGTCTGATTTTTTTTTTCTAAGTGTAACCCATTTTTCCAAGGTGACCTATTTTTCGAAGTGTGACCCATATTTACACGTGTGACTAATTTTGGCGAGTGTAACCCTTTTATCAAAATGTGACCCATTTTCTTAAGTGTGACCCATTTTTCTTAGTGTGACCCATTTTTTACAAGTGTGACCCATTTTTACAACGTCCTTGACTAGTCTCGGTACAATGTACGTTGTCACTTTTATCAGTCACCCTATGACCTTACACCGAGACAAACTTACGCGATCTTCTCACAATACACAATCCCCGTATTTACCATAAAATTAAAGGATTACTAATTGGCGAAAGCCCGAATTGTTTTCTATGTTTACAATTGTTTTCTATGTTTACAATTTGGAAGATATCTGCAAAAGTTAAATTGTTGGCACGGGCTAAACAGGGGAAATTTTGAGAATTTGAGGAGTTCCTGACCGTGCGTGGGAGAAAGTGAAACAAGTCAGTCAACGTCAGTCAGACAGACATTCGAGTCTGAAAATACTTCCTCATATAGCGGATGAAGAAAATGAATTAAGAATTAACAAAGCCTTTTTATGTGAACATTTAGACCAAAGCGATGAAGCTCTGACGTCTCGCGATCGTTTCTGCCGAGCGTTGAACTGTTAACTAAATGTGAATATACTTATATACTGAGATAACAGGAGCAGCTAATAAATCAACTCCGCGAATGTCTCATTCGATCAACACTTCGAATAGCGGTTGCAG